TTGCAGTACAGTTCTGGTAGCTGTTTGTTAGCATTAAATGCAACAGTCTGTCCTAAACAGCATTACTTAATGTATGCGTTAATAATGTAGGCTACGCAGTTCTGGTTTGTTAATGATTATTCGTGACCGCAAACGTGGGAACGGAAAGAGAAGCATCGTTCGCAACATTAGTCGTTAGTGTTTAACAGCTCCTGGATGTGTGAGTAACAGGTCAATAAAAACACAGGAGTCCGTTCGCTACACTCTAAAAAATGCTGGGTTAAATATAACCCAGTGCTGGGTAAAATAGGGACAAACCCAGCAATTGGGCTGTTTTGACCCAGCGGTTGGGTTAAATGTTTAACCCAATCTTCTGGGTAGTAACCCAACCGCTGGGCCAAAACAACCCAATTGCTGGGTTTGTCCCTATTTTACCCAGCACTGGGTTGTATTTAACCCAGCATTTTTTAGAGTGTAGTAACCCAACCGCTGGGTCAAAACAACCCAATTGCAGGGTTTGTCCCTATTTTACCCAGCACTGGGTTATATTTAACCCAGCATTTTTTAGAGTGCATGGTTCAGTGGTTCTGCTGCAGTCTCTCTAGAGAAGAGTTCATCACAGCGATGCGCTCTAGAATGCTTCATTCTGATTGGCTGACAGACGTTCTGAGGTTTTAATTAAAGTTCCAGATTGTGACAGCATTATAGTTCCACATATCAGCCGAAAAGCTGTTTCAAAGAGCCTTAAAGGGAGAGTCACCCCAAAACGGAGGTGTGTGCTGTTTCCAAGATGCTGAATCAGTGAGTTAAGTGAGTGCTAACTCACAAAGAGGAATTTTTGACTCAGAACCGTAATTATAGAAAATTAATGCAGGTGGAAAGCAAAGAAAACGAATGCAGGAGCTGTGCAAATCAGACCCTCACACACACATTCTGAGTGACAAGGACCTTTACAACCAGAGAGAACTTTGACTGTATTTCTACACTCTAAAAAATGCTGGGTTGTTTCAACCCAACTTTGGGTCAAATATGGACTAACCCAACTTTTGGGTTAAAAATTGAATGTAAAAATTTAACCCAACGGTTGGGTTAGTCCATATTTGACCCAAAGTTGGGTTGAAACAACCCAGCATTTTTTAGAGTGTACAGCTTGACATTCAAACGATGTGTCCAAAAGGCCATGGAGAGGCACAGCTCATCTCCGCCAGCATCACAAGCATTTCTCATTTTATTTCTCATTCCCATCAGAGAGGCTTTAGGTATGCCGTCTTTCAGATTCATGCATGAATGAATGAGTTCAAGATCTTTCTGTAGATTGCATGAGCTTTTTTGAGAGCCAGACCATTATCTGAACCCCTCTTAACAGGATCATTCACTCAAGAATGAAAATTGCAATCATTTACTCACGCATATGTCATCCAAACCAGTTCAGCGACGTCTTTTCCTTCCATTAAACACAAAAGTATAACTATATATATATACATATATATACAATAAACCGAGCAGCAAATCAGTATATTAGAATGATTTCTGAAGATCATGTGACACACTGAAGACTGGAGTAATGATGCTGAAAATACAGCTTTGGTCACAGAAATCAATTAAATTCCATAATGTATTCACATAGAAAATTTTTATTTTAAATTGTAATATTTCACATTTTTTACGGTCATTTTGGTGAGCAGAAGAATATGTACTGTGTATATATAACAATAAATAAACAAAATAAGCCTGTCAAATAAATAGTATAAGTCTAACACGCTTCATCTTGGAAGTCACTGTACTTGATGCACATTATTTCTGAGTACTGTTATATAAGAAAAATCAAATCATACTCCATACACATTGTAATAGACATAAATAGGTCAAGTGTTTGAGAGTTAATGCTCTTAGCAAATACATTGTAGTTGAGTTTTAAATGGCTCCTTCCAGGAATTTGAGTTGTTAAGTGCTCTTAAGGTCTGAACAAGGCTAATGACTAATTAAATGAATACGAGCCCTGCAATTAAACCCACAGTCCTGCATAATCAAACCTTCATCCCTGACATTTATAATGACCCTGAGAGGTGTATGTATGTCAGCTGTCAGGTTATTCAATCCATAAGAGTTTATTAGAGGAGAGAGATGAATGCAAGGAAAAAGAAAGAGTGCAAGGAAGTCTCAAAGACCAGGATGATAGGAGACAGAATACGGCAGATATAAACAATCCTGTTTTTGTAACACATACATTTCTTTGATTTAAATAAAATGTATTATAAAAAGTGTTATATGAATGAAAAATCTGACACCCTTGTGAAAAATGGTGCTTGCGGTATAATTCAAATCTTAAAATTCTATTTTTAAAAACTGCGTGGATTAAATAAACATATAAGTGCACTTAAAGCGAGACACTTTCATGACTATATTTAGTGCTATATTATATTCATCACTTTACTATATAAAGTGCACTTTGTAACAACACCAAATTAAAAGTTTTACTTAACGTTTTACATTTTTTTTGTCATGCCTTAAATTATTACATTTATATACATGACATAAAAGTATATTTTAGTTTACCAAAAAAGCTCGTCACAGCATTCAGCAATTATATTACAAAGAAAATAGAAGTAATTATGAAATTACATATAAATATGTACTTAAGTCCTATTTACGTGGGTAAAAAAGCATTCTTAAGTTCAATTAAATTGCATTTAATTTAAATGTAAAATGTAATGCATTTTCGTTTCATTACAAATAACATGCAAGTAAGCGTCTAAAATGCAACATTGCATTCAGTTCACACTTTTCAAATGAATGATTTCTGAAATAAATACTATTTACGTGGGCAAAAAAGCATTCTTAAGTTCAATTAAATTGCATTTAATTTAAATGTAAAATGTAATGCATTTTTGTTTCATTACAAATAACATGCAAGTAAGCGTCTAAAATGCAACATTGCATTCAGTTCACACTTTTCAAATGAATGATTTCTGAAATAAATACTCAAAAGTATGCAGAGAAGTACTTCTGTTTGGGTACATTACACAACACATATGAGCAGTATTCAGTTTATTACAGAGAGTGAGATATGAATGAAGGTTTTGATATGATCAGTGAATTGTTCACTAAAATGTTTCAAACTGGGTGTCTGTGAATCGTTTTGACCGATTCATTTTAAAAATAACTAATCCTATTGTGATTCTGCAGCGGTTTTGCTGTACGTTTCTTTTTATGTGACGCCAGCGAAGACAATGCAATAGATAGAATGTGGTTTTCACTTGCAGTGTCCGGTCATTTTAACTAATTTGAACACAACTCGGGTAAAATATAATTGTTTTGCTATACTGAATCCACACACTCTTCTGAGCTGAATGAGGACGCCTCAGAGGTCAAATATTATCAGTACACAAACTAAACAGAACTGGAACAGAGGAAGAGAAAAAGTGATTACGGCATAAATTAAAGATGAAACGAAGCAGAAGACTGATGCATTTCTACTCCTCAGTCCCAGTCAAGACAACAACCGAGCGGCTCTGGCAGGGAACCCCATAATAACAACAGTAAATATTATTACATGCGAATGGATGTATTTTGGTTAGATACTGATCTCTTTTTCCATTTTCTATAACAAGAAATTAATAAAACGAATTATTGGCACAGTGTGCAAATCAATGGAGTGATTACTTTGTTTTGAAAACAGTCTGTTCTGGAGGTCGTATTATGTAACGTGTAATATATTCTTCAAGAGATTGTCAAGCAGAGATATGATGTCCGAGCCGCTGCCCAAGGTTCAGGATTGATTGTGTTATCATGCTGATGACATCAAATATCAGACGCTCATGGGATCCTTTACGGACGCAGCAGAATCCAAAATCATTGAGAGACTGTTCTTAACAGCGGACTGTTTGCCGGGTCAAGGGGTCAAGATTTGAGCGGATAACATGGTCTGTTAATGCTTTAAAGGAATCGTTCACCCAAAAATGAAAATGTGCTGACACTGTCCTCACCCTCAGGTCATCTGAGATGTAAATGAGTTTGTTTCTTCATCAGATTTGGAGAAATGTAGCATTGCATCACTTGCTCACTGCAAGTGAATGGGTGCCGTCAGAATGAGAGTCCAAACAGCTGATAAAAACATCACAGTAATCCACAGCACTCCAGTCCATCAGTTAACATCTGGAGAAGACAAACGCTGAAACAAATCCAGCATTAAGATGTTTTTAACTAAAATCCATAATAACGCTTCCTCCGGTGAAAAAGTGCATCTGCTGTTGTCTCTCACATCAAAATCCAGCCACAGATTTGTTTAGAGCTGTTTAAACGGTGCTTGATCTGTGCAGATTTCTCTCCTGATTCAGACCACTTTTTCACTGGAGGAAGCGTTATTATGGATTATGGACTTGTATTTTAGTTAAAATCATCTTAATGCTGGATTTGTTTCAGCTTTCGTCTTCTCCAGATGTTAACTGATGGACTGGAGTGCTGTGGATTACTTGTGGATTATTGTGATGTTTTTATCAGCTGTTTGGACTCTCATTCTGACGTTTAATGTGCATTTGGGAATGTTATTATAAAATATAATATATATTTTTTATCATTTTTTTATTTTATAGTACAATTGTTTTAATAAATAGTAAAACAGTAATGTATTGGTACTCTTTTTAAAATTTGAGTTATAATAATAATAAAATGAAAGACACTAATAAAAGATTAAATATTTTATTAATTTAATTGCATGTCATTTGACCATTAACCAATATCAGAGAGCCATAAAGATGCAAATGCGTTGTTGAATATTAGCTTAATTTCTCAGGGGGACTTCAAGTAAATATATGGCGTCTAAGGGGTTCATCTGACCTGATCTGTACCATTAGAGTAGGAAGAAAAGGAAGAAGAGTGTGTACATAGTGAAAGAACTGGATGTGTCCATTTATTTTACCTTTGGAAAGAAAAACATGCAAAAGCAAAGTACACTCACATGAATCAAATGGACCCTAAAACAGCTGATTTCAGCCTAGACGTGCATTAGGAATGGATCGAGGAAATAAAAACAATCACATCTTTTATGGTTATGATATGTGAGCAAACTACAGATTACCAATACTGGATATTGGATTGCTACAGCTGAAGATTGTCATTGCATTCACAGTTTGCATTCAATATTGCGGTAAAAGTGTTAAACATCAATGTGCAATTTGCAGCTGTGCTCTTTAACTCTCTTTATACCATCAGTATATTATACAGATTAATCAGACATAGTCTGCAGGCGTTTACATCTGAAATCATCTCCATCCACAGTTTCCCATCCCAGAGGATCAGGAATCTGAGCGTCTTTACTTGTGCTTGCAGCGCTGGCTCCTCCGCTGGTAGATCTCCTCAGTGAATGGTCTGCAAACATGAGAAGGTGAGCGCAAACACAGATTGTAAATCTCAAGAGCTGTGCGGTGTACCAGCCTGAGCCTGGCACCCGCGGGAGAGAGAGAGAGGGAGAGGGAGAGGGTAGAAAGCAGATGTGTTTGTTGTTTCCTCTGGCCTTGGGCCTTGCACTGTGCACACACAGACTGTGGAACAAAACCAAACACGAATTTGTCCAGTTTATCACACAGACGGTTCATGTGAATGCTTCATAGCAGCTCCTGATGACAGATGTTTGTGGGAGAGAGAGAGATAGAGATAGAGAGAGAGAGAGACACAGAGAGAGATAGAGATAGAGAGAGAGAGAGACACACACAGAGAGACAGAGAGATTATTATTATTATTATTATTTTGTATCTTTTTGTACATGTATACTAAGCTTTGGCAATATTGTATAATTTACAGTCATGCCAATAAAGCAATTTTTGAATTGAATTGAACTGAATTGACAGAGAGAGAGAGAGAGAGAGAGCAGCTTTATTGTCTATTCATTATATATGGGGTTTGTAATTCTTGCAACCCTGTTAATTTGGGACAGAATAGTCTAAATACAACTGCAAACATTAACTCAGAAGTTCAAAATGAAACATTATTTAAAAAAAAATACATAAAATCGAAAGTGATGTGGAAAGGTCTAAATGAGGCTACTACTAACAAATTAAAATGTAATATTAAAATGTTACATTTATATTAAATTATTTAAAAATAAAAAACTTAAACTTCAAATTTCAAAATTAAACACATTATTTAAAAATAAAAACTTAAACTTCAAATTTCCAAAGTAAACACATTATTTAAAAGCAAAATAAAATTAAATAAAAAGTGATGTACAAAGGTTCAATTGATGTTATACTTACCTGGGTGTCACAATTTGAACAATTAACAAACATTAACTCTACAATTAAGAGACATTGCTTAAAAACAAAGCAAAAATTGTCAGCGAAACCTTCAGGAAATGTTAGGAAAACATTTTTTTGAGCAGTTTTATTGTCTATATTGTTATAAATGAGGTTTACAAGTTTTGCAATCCTGTTACAGGACCAAAATTGTGTCTTAATACAATTTTAGACATTGCCAACATTGACTTAAAATCCAATATTAAACACAATATTTAAAGAATAAAATCAAACAAATAAAAAACTTAATGCAAAATTAATCATTACTTAAAAATAAAACAAATTAAATAAAAAATGAAATCAAAAGTTAATTT